GCTCGGGTCTGTGCACACGGAGGTGCCGGGAGGGAGTGGGGAGCCTGGTGCCGTGTCCGCTACAGGCTCACCACTAGCTGGCGGCAGCCGTCTCTGGGCTGGTGTCCGCCGGTCTCTCCACCCACTGGGGAGCCCACCAGCAGTCCCAAATGCAGGGGAGGGGAAAGGTGAATTATCCACCTACCCTTCCCGCTGGTCTCCCGGGCTGCTCCGGCGGTCTCAGCTTCCAGTTCTCCTCCGCAGTCTACTCCCGTGGAGTCTCTCGGGTCTCAGGTACCCCTCCTTCCTGCCCTCGTCTGCTGTATGCTCGTCTTCTTGCTTCTTTTTTCTAATTTCTGCTAGAATCTGTCTTTTCTGCAGAGACACTCTTTCTGGCAGTGTTTCTTGTCCGCCATCTTGATCCTCTCCCCTGTCCCAGAGGATTTGATAACTTGTCTCTCCATTGTCATTTTATTCATAGAATTTTTTTACTTCCATCTTGATTTCTTCTTTTATGAAGTAATATTTAGTACAAGGTTGTTTAATTTCCACGTTTTCATGAAGAAGTGTGAGTTTCTGTTACGGTTGATTTCTACTCTTATTCCACTGTGATCTGAGAAGATACATGGTATGATTTCTGTTTTTTTAAATTTCTTGAGGTTTACTTTGTGTCCTAGGATATGGTCAATCTTAGAGAATGTACTGTGAGCTGATGAGAAGAAAGTATATTCAGTAGATTTTGGGTAGAATGTCCTGTAAATGTCAGTCAGACCCAATTTTTCTAGAGTTTTGTTTAAGTCCATTATTTATGTTTTGTTTTTAATTTTTATTTATTTATTCTTTATGTACAAATTCTGTATGTACGAATATTGTTAAGGTTACATATCTTGAGCCTGCCCCCCTCTCCACTCCATCTTCAAGTGTTGCACCCTGCACCCACCATAAAATTGCGTATCCTTCCCCTTTTCCTCCCTTCCAGCTGTCCACCTCCCATTTACAAAATTTTTCTTTTATTAGACATTTTTTTACAGTGTGTTTCTTTGCCTCTCCCTAAAAAGGGATCGAGGTAATCCTTTCCCCCCTACAATGCTCATCACATCCTTAAGATGTGGGTTTCCCCCCCTCAGATCCCTGTTGAACACTACAATTATTTGAACACCATAGTTTTAGGCTGTCAGTACCAATTTGATGGTGAGTAGATGTGTAGCTCATTTTCCATGTCTTGAGTTGTCTCGCTTTGTATTACAGGCTTAAGCTTAATCCACGATAGCATAAATGGTGCTAGTTCACTATCGTATCTTAGGATTGAGTAACATTCCATTGTGAGTATATACCACATTTTAGTTATCCAATCATGAATTGATGGGCCCTTCAGTAGTTTCCATGACTGCAATAGTGAATTGTGCTGCCATAAACATTCGGGTGCAGATGTCTTTATAATAGAATGACGTATGTTCTTTTGGATAGATGCCCAACAATGCTATTGCTGGGTCAAATGGTATTTCTATTTCTAGTTGTTTGAGGTATCTCCAAATTCTTTTCCTCAAAGCTTGCACTAATTTGCAGTCCCACCAGCAGTGTAGGAGTGTTCCTGTGTCTCCACATCCTTGCCAGCACTTGTTGTTTTGGGATTTCTTGATATAGGCCATTCTCACTGGGGTTAGGTGGTATCTCATTGTGGTTTTGATTTGCATTTCACTAATGATTAGAGATGTTGAACATTTTTTATATGTTTGCATGCCATTATTCTGTCTTCAATGGAGAAGTTTCTGTTCATTTCCATTGCCCATTTCTTGATGGGGTTGTTTGATTTTTCCTTGTTTATTCTTTTAAGTTCTAGATAGATTCTTGTTATTAGACCTTTATCGGAAGTGTAGAGAGCAAATATTTTCTCCTATTCTGTGGGTTGTCTATTTGCTCTAATGATCGTTTCCTTGGCAGTGCAGAAACTTTTTAATTTGATCAGATCCCATTTGTTTATTTTTGCTGTGGCAGTGATTGCCTAAGGGGTCTTCTTCATAAATTCTTTGCCTAGGCCAATATCTGATAGGGTTTTCCCAACATCTTCTTCCAGGATTCTTAAAGTTTCATGTGTTAGGTTTAGGTCTGTTATCCATCTTGAGTGAATTTTCGAGAGGGGTGAGAGGTTGGGGTCCTGATTTGCTCTTCTGCATATTGCTAACCAGTTTTCCCAGCACCATTTATTGAAGAGAGAATCTTTTCCCCATAGTATATTTTTGTCTGCTTTATCAAAGATTAGGTTACTGTATACAGATGGTTTTATCTCTGGAATCTCAGATCTATTCCAGATATCGATGTTTCTGTTCTTGTGTCAGTACGGGGTAGACTTTACTATTATTGCCTTATAGTACCACTTAAAGTCAGGAAGACTGATCCCTCCCAGTTTGTTTTTCTTACTTAAGAGTGCTTTGGCTATGCGTCATTTTCTCTGGTTCCATACAAAGTGAAGGATGATTTTTTCTATATCTGTAAAGAATGCTGGTGGTATTTTGATGGGAATTGCATTGATTCTGTAGATCACCTTAGGTAATATTGACATTTTAATAATATTGATTCTTCCTAGCCATGAGCATGGTAGATTTTTCCATGTGTTGAAATCATCTGCAATTTCTTTTTTTAGTATTTCATAGTTCTTCTTATATAATCTTTTGTATTTCTCGTTAGATATACTCCTAGATATTTAATTTTCTTTGGAGCTATAGTAAAGGGTATTGTGTTTTTGATTTGAGTTTCTTCTTGATGGTTTTTGGCATATATGAATGCTTCTGATTTGTGCATATTGATTTTATACCCTGAAACTATACCGAATTCATTTATCAGATCTAGGAGTCTCTTGGATGAGTCCATGGGCTTTTATATATATAATATCATATCATAGGCAAAGAGTGAGTGTTTGATCTCTTCTGACACAACTGGGATGCCCTTTATACCCCTTCATGCCTGATTGCTATAGCTAAGACTTCGAGTACTATGTTGAATAAGAGAGGAGAAAGTGGGCATCCTTGTCTAGTTCCGGTTTGAAGCGGGAATGATTTCCATTTTTCCCCATTTAGGATGATGTTAGCCATTGGTTTGTGATAAATGGATTTGATAAATTTAAGGTATGGGCCGTCTATGCCTATTTTGTTAAGGGTTTTTATCATAAAGGTATGTTGGACTTTATCAAATGCTTTTTCTGCATCTATTGACAGAATCATATGGTCTTTGTTCTTGGCTTTATTTATAAAGTGGATTGCATTTATAGACTTGCGTATGTTGAACCAGCCTTGCATGCCAGGAATAAACCCCACTTGGTCATGGTGAATTTTTTTTTGATGTGCTGCTGAATTCTATTTGCTAAAATTTTGTTTAGAATATTTGCATCTATATTCATGAGGGATATTGGTCTATAATTTTCTTTTTTTGTTGCATCCTTTCCTGGCTTTGGTATCAAGGTGATATTGGCTTTGTAGAATGAGTTAAGAAGGGTACCATCCTTCTCAATGGTGTGGTAAGTTTCTGTAGTATAGGTATGAGTCATCCTTGAATGTTTGGTAGAACTCTGGGGTGTAGCCTTCCGGCCCGAGAGTTTTCCATTTGGGAAGGTTTTTAATTACTACTTCAATTTCTGAGCTTATGATTGGTCTGTTCAGGAACTCATTATCCTCCTGGGTGAACTTAGGGAGGTTGTGTGATTCCAGGAATCTGTCCATTTCATCTTCATTCTGTAGTTTTTGGGCATATAGATTTCTATAGTAGTCAAACATCATGTTTTGTATTTCTGTGGAGTCTGTTGTGATCTCTCCTTTTTCATTTCTTATTGAGGTTATTAGAGTCCTTTCCCTTTGAGTTCTTGTCAGCCTAGCCAGAGGGCTGTCAATTTTGTTGATCTTTTCGAAAAACCAGCGTCTGGTTTTGTTGATCTTCCATATAGTTCTCTTATTCTCCATTTCATTTAGTTGAGCTTTGATCTTAGATATTTCTTTTCTTCTGCCAGGATTGGAATTGGTTTGCTCTTCTTTTTCCAATTCCTTGAGTGTATTCATTAGGTTGTCTGTGTCTTATCTTTCTGTTTTTTGCATGTGAGCATTTATTGCTTTCTAACAATCCTTATTCGTAATTCTTCCTCTGTTAGTTTAATCACATCATGTAAGTTGGTGTCCGTTGGTGGAGAATGATTATTTTTTTTGGAGGTGACTTTTCTCTCTGATAGTTTATAGTTTCTGAAGTTTTTTGCTGGTTCTTCTTCATTGGGATACTTTGTTGAGGACCAGAGGTGCTGGAAGTCAATTATAAGCTGTGTACTTGGGTTCCAAAGGAATGATCCTTGGGAGACCTGGGAGGATGTGTTCTGCTCGTGTATCACCTTTCCCAAGGGTCTTCGAGTCCTCAGGACTAGCAACCTCCTTTACTTATCTGCCTTGCTATGACAGTCTCTATTCTCTGGGCACAGAACACCAACCACTGAGTGCAGCAAGATACCCCTCAGGCTTAAACTTGTGAGATAGCTGCTGAACAAAGCACCACTTTCAACTTTCCACCCATATAAATTCAGCTTTCAAGGCCACTTGCCAGGTTAGGGCAGGGGGGAAGACTGAGTTTACTACCAGGGCTGCCCTCTGCAGTGTTTTCTAACTAAGGAGTGGCTTGGTAGAGCGGGGAAGCAGCTGTTAGGTTCAGACCCTCTCCCACTTGCTTCTGCTTCAGTGGTGCGCTGGGAGCTCAACAAGTTGCCTTCTCTGGAGGCCCGAACAGATCAGCCAGGTTAGGGTAGAATACGTGCCCGGGAAACACTAGAGCACTGTCCACCGCAGCTTCTCCAAGGTTTGGGGTAGTGTGGCAGTGCTAGGAAGTGGCTGCAGCGTTTGGACCCTTTCTTCTCCTGCCACTGGTTCAGTGGGGTTCTGGTGGTTAAGAGAGATACCTTCTCCAGCTGCTCAAAGAGTTTGTCTGGTTTAGGGTAGTAGAGATGCCTGGCAAACGTCTCCAGTGCAGTCCTCCACAACTTCTCCAAGCCGCAGGGGTAGAGCAGCGGGACAGGAGAGTGGGCACAGAGCTGGGCCCTTTTCCCTACCCACTACTGCTTCAGAGGTGCTGTGGGCTTGATTGGCAGCCCTCTCCTGAAGCAGGAATAGATCAGCTTGTTTAGGATCCTGGGGAAACCCAGAAAATGCCCCCCGAGCTGATCTGCCTCGAGTAAGCCGGGAGAACGTCTCCCGCGCGACTCTGTGCAGAGTCTCCAAGCCGCGGGGGCTGGGTGGCAGAGAAGGGGAGCGGGCACAAAGCTGGGCCCTTCTCCCCACCCACTATCACTTCAGCAGGGCTGTGTTCTCAACAGGCTTCCATCCTCTGAAGCAGAAACACTTCAGCTGGTCTTTGGCCCCAAGGAAGCTGGGAGAACGGCTCCCATGCGGCTTGGAGTCTGCAGGCTGCGGGGATAGGGTGGCGGAGCCGGGGAGCGGGCACAGAACTGGGCCCTTCCTTCTCCCCACCCACTACCGCTTCAATGGGGCCGTGGGCTCAACAGGCTGCCGTCCCCTGAAGCAGAAACAGTTCAGCTGGCCTCGGGCCCCGGGGAAGCTGGGAGAAAGTCTCCCGTGGGGCTCTGTGTGGTGTCTCCAAACCGCGGAGTCTCCCAGTCGAGGGGGTTGGGCGGTGGAGCCGGGGAGCGGGCACAGTACTGGGCCCTTCTCCCTACCCACTACCGCTTCAATAGGGCTGTGGGCTCAATGGGCTGCCGTCCCCTGAAACAGAAACAGTTCAGTTCGCCTTGGGCCCTGGGGAAGCCTGGAGAACGTCTCCTGCCAGGCTCTGCATGGAGTCTCCAAGCCACGGGGGTTGGGCAGTGGAGCGGGGGAGTGGGTAGAGAGCTGGGCCCTTCTCCCCACCCACTACCGCTTCAGCGATTCTGTGGGCTCAGCAGGCTGTCCTCTCCTGAAGCAGGAAAAATTCAGCTGGTTTTGGGCAGTGGGAAAGCATGGAGAACGTCTCCCACAAGGCTCCCCGCGGAGACTCCAAGCCGTGGGGGCTGGGCAGCAGGGCTAAGGAGCAGGTGCTGAGTTCAGACCCTTCCTCCACTCCCCACTGCTTCGGTGGCGCGCTGTGTAGAATTCTAAATGCTGCCCGTTTCAGACTCCTCTCCAAATCACTTGTCTGCCCACGTGGTAGGTAAGGTCGATTACTGTTCATTCTGTTGGGTTGGATGTTGTTGCTTTGATTTCTCTCTTGAGCCATTGTAATATCTGGCCTTTAATCTTTGGGTTTTGGTTGTTTTTATATTCATGAGTTTTTTTTATGGTGTTCCATGTGTAACACTGTTTTGAGTACTTCTTGTAGGGCTGATCTTGTCTTGGTGAATTCTCTGAGACTTTGCTTATCTGAGAATGTCTTAATTTCTCCTTCATATATGAAGCTTAGTTTCTCAGGGTACAAGATTCTAGTCTGGGCATTGTTTTGTTTTAAAAGAGTGAGAGTGGGTCCCCATTCCCTCCTTGCTTGTATTGTTTCAGTCGATAAATATGGAGTTATTCAGATCGGTTTTCCTTCATATGTAACTTCCTTCCTGTGCCTAACAGCTTATAGGAGGGTCTCTTTTGTTGATATTTTGGTCATTCTGATGACTACATGGCGTGCTGTTTTCCTGTTTGCATTGTATCTCCTAGGAGTCCTTTTGGCCTCTTGTATTTCTAATTCTAGGTTACTGGTTAGACCTGGGAAGTTTTCCTCAATTATTTTTTCAAAAAGCTTATCTAACCCTTGAGTTTTTTCTTCCTCCTTCTCAGGAATCCAGTGGACCCCCAGGTTATTTTTCTTCATATAATCCCACAATTCTTGTAAGCTTTGCTCATGTTTCTTATTTTTCTGCTCTAACTCTGTGATTACCTTATTTGATTCAATGGGTTGTCTTCCAGTTCTGAGATTCTTTCTTCTGTTTGGTCCACCCTGTTTTTGAACCTTTCCACTGTGTTTTGCATTTCCCTGAATAAATTCTTCATATCGAGGATGTCTGATTGATTCTTCCTCACAATGTCGATCTCCTTAGTGAATCTTTCTTCCAAATCTTGTATCTTCTTTGTAGTTTCTTTGTGTTGGTTATCCATTTTTTCTTGCATTCCATTGTTTTTTTTTACAATCCAATTTTGGAATTCTTCTTCTGTCTTTTTAGTGTTTTGGGTTTGTTCAGACTGCATTTCTTGAGAGCTGGTATATCTCCTAGGGGGAGTATTTTCGGCTTGATTTTTGAATTGCGTTGGGCCCACCTCATCTGGGTCAATTGCTAGAGTTCAGTAGTCTGCTTTTTGTAGTTTCTTGATCAGCCACTGGGGTGAGCTCTTCCACCACACTTGGAAGGTTCTCCTGAAAGGGGTAGCTTTTGAGGAAAGTGGGTTTTCTTGTCTCACCCCGCCTCCAGGGGTGGAGCCTACCACTTTGGGCAAGAGAGATGCGTGCTGAGGGGAGGAGGTATCTCCTCAGTCTGCTCTGCACCCCAGTGGCTGTAACTCCCCTTGGCTGCTAGACTTCTCAGTAGATCTTTGATGGAGCCAGGCCTGACCAGCCGATGGCAGATTGTGTAGGGGCGGGATTGCCAGGGGAGACTCTAGGCTGGGCAGGGGCAGGGGACTTGCCCGCTGATGGCTGGGCTGTGGACCCCCTCAATGCAATCGCTAGCCCACTTATAGGGCACCAGTACTGGGGGCGACTGATTAGGGTGCAGCCAGTGCCTGGTTGGGGGCCTGGGTCAGTAGGACACCCCGTAGGTTCCTCCACACCGCCTGCCCAACCGCCTGTTCAGTCGGAACCCTGGCATTTGCTGACCCGCCCTGTGCGGTTTTATTCGCCTGGGGCAGTTCCAACTTAGAGCCCCCGCTTAGTCTCCCTGGTTACTAGAGGCGAGACCTCTAACTGCCTCCCCAGTCCGCACAGATTAGTTTCCTCCTATCATGGGGCTCAGGGGGGACCACCCCTCCGACTTTCACCATCAACTACACCCTCCAGCACCCTCTTCTTCTGCTGCGATTTCGCACCAGTTTCAGACCAGTCTCTGGCTGGGTGGGTGTGGAGGTCAAGGGGGAGGCAAGGAGTCCTCCTGTGGGTCTGATCCCATATCACCACCTGGCCCAGCGGCCGGCGCCCTCCCACTCACCCTATTGTTTGCTTTGCACTCTCCAGAGAACCCGATCTTATTTCCCGATCACTTTGTTTATCCTTTTTATGAGTTCCACTTTGCTCCTCTGCATATTCTCAATGCTGTCCTTGTAGTGGGGAGATCAACACGCACATAGGAGACCAAGATCTGTGTCTCGTCTCTGGGAGCAGGAGTCCAGAGAGTAACTTCTACTCCGCCATTTTCTTGAAAAGCCTGCTATTTTTTTTAAGTATGGTACAACAATTTGCATTTATTCAAATATAGCTAAGTCATCTTCTTCTGGGAGAGCGAGCAGGTAGCTGGGCGGGTGCAGCGTAGCAAGGAGGGGAAAGGAAAAGGATTTCCCAGCTGCCGAGGCAGCTGGCAGGAAGGTGTAGACTGGTGGGGTTGAGAAGGGCTCCCACAGACGGGGACACACACTGTGGGTGGAGAGCCCATAACTACCTTTTCGGTCGACTTTCCTGGGGTGGAGACCGCTGCGTCTACCCGTGGACAGGGGGATGACCAGGGCTGCTGGTCAAGGTGTTGACTGCAGCACCCACGGGGCAGCGTTGCCTCCACGGCCCTGAGTAAGGACCTCAAAGAGAGAGATGGTCGACTCTCGGGCACCGAGCCAGCGCCGCAGCAACGAACTCGGAGGTCGCGTCACTGAGCTACAAGCAGTCTCTGCGGACTTGGGGATTCGCAGGAGACATTCAGGGCCAGCGGACACTGCGGGCTGTTCAGGATCGGGCTGGTGGCTGCGCTGATCTCTGGAACAGCCAGTGACTGCAGTGGGTCTTTTGAAGTGTGCAGTCAGTAGTGGTGAAGTTTGTTCATTGTGTGCGTCGTCACCCAGCACCCTGTCCAAGCTGATCCATCTCCCACTGAAACCTATTCCAATTAAGACCTTCCCTCTTGTTTCCCTGCCAGCCCCCATGGTAACAAATGTCTCCCTTTATCTGCCACGGACTGACTATCTTGACCCCTCGAATAACTAGCAGTCCCATTAACTGTGCTGTCCTTCCGTGCGATGCCGTATTGCACCTAGCACTCAAGGTCCTTCCAGATTTACCCGATGGTGTCGCATTGTCTCACAACTCCCCCATTTTTAAGTTCCGTACCACTTCCACCATCTTTGTGCCACATTGGCCTCACTCCTCCACCAGTGCCAGGGTGCTGACTCACTTTTGCTATTGTGAGTAATGCGCGTGTACTAGGTGTGTGAATATCTGTATGAATCTCTTGCTTTGGACTTTCCTTGGAATATACAGCAAGCGTATGCCTGACCCGGATTCTTTGTTTACCTTTGGGAACCATCCAGCTGGGTAATAATTTACAACCTGCTCTTTTTGGTAGTCTATAAGCAATTGAACGCATCGGTTATTATCTTTTGTCTCATATCGAATCCCAACATTCTCTAACCTGCATGAATATATGCCTACAATATTAGGGAGCAGGATAAATAAATGACTCAGTTTTGAAGGACAGTTCAATCATCTGCATACGAGAGTAATCTCTTCTGATCAGCAGCAAGCGGCTGTGAGCCTCGGCGTCACTGACAAATGAACACAAGGGGCTGAGTGTGGGAGCCAAGCACCAGGCAGCGATGCTCGCAGCAATGCTTGGGTTCTGCAGCTGGGC